GGAAATGAGCTTTCCCGACTTCTGGGGTGTCTTTTAATTACTTTTAAGTTCTTCAAAATTCAAGGTTTTCCCCTCTTCAAAACTATCAGGTAAATTTTGCCCACTGTTATTACAGTAGATAGGCCTTATGTGTGTATACATAGGCTTACACAAAAAATTGAGTAGTTGCATACGATTTTTTTTTCCGATAAATCCCAAAAAGAAAGGGGGTCCGGGGGTTCTCCCCCAGGAAAATATTGAGGTGTATTTTAATTACTTTTAATTTTTTCAAAATTTAAGGTTTTCCCATCTTGAAAATTATTATAATGAATCAATGAATCTTCCCGGGAAAATGTTGATTTGATTGGTAAGTGAAATAAGCTTTCCCGACTTTAATTTAAGTTCTTTAAAATTAAAGGTAATAATTTTTTCCCATTTTTGTTACAGTAAATAGGCCTTATGTGGGTATACAAACATAAAAAAAGTTTGAGCAATTTGCATACGTATTTTTTTTCCCATGAATCGATAAATCCCAAAAAGAAAAGGGGGGGGGGTCCTGTGGTTCTTCTACAGGAAATTTTTTGATTCCTAGGTGGCGGGAAATGAGCTTTCCCGACTTCTGAGGTGTCTTTTAATCTTTTCAAATGATGACTTTTAATTTCTTCAAAATTCAAGGTGCCCCCCAACCCTCTTGAAAATGATTCAATTAATCAATGAACTCCAAAGAAAAGGTCCGTGTTCCCCGGGAAAATTTCGATTTCTAGATGGCGGGAAATGAGATTTCCTGAGTTCTGAAATGTATTTTAATGTATTTTAAGTTCTTCAAAATTCAAGGTTTTCCCCTCTTGAAAACAGTCAGGTAAATTTTTCATATTTTTTATTTTTTGTGTGTATTCATACATAAACAAATGAGTAGTTGCATGCGTATTCTTTTTGCCATGAATCGATAAATCCCAAAAAGAAAGGGTGGTCCAGGTTCTCCCCCTTGAAAATTTTGATTTTTGGGTTGGCAGGAATGAGACATTTGAAGTATGTTTTAATGACTTTTATGTTGTTCAAAATTCTAATTTTCTTAATGTAACCAAAAAAAAAAAAAAAAAAATCAGCTCACGGGTCCAGAAAAGGTAGGTCTAGAATTCTTTTTCTTTTTCCCCTTTTATTTGTGTTGCCCAAGAGAGGGGTCAGGACCCATGGCCTCCTCCCCCATATCCGCCAATGTGAATTGCGAGAAAATGTAACTCGGTCGGGTACTGAATAAACATTCTCTTTCCCATCCTTGTCCTCCTTCTTCCCTCCTTTTCTTGCATTTCCGATCATACGAAAATCTCCAGACATTATATATTTTTTGCCAAAAAGTAGGGGGCTCGCCCCCCCCCCCGGTTCCGCCGGCCATTATTTTTACATTACCATTGTGTAAAGGGACTGTACAATAGCTGCTTCGGTGAACTGACAGGCTAGCATTATGGCTGAGAGAACTATACACGTGTATAGTTGTCTCAAATTATGTCTAGGCTGTGTTTTGTTGACAAATCGGTCGTGTGGGTAATGTGGAAGGGATAGAGGGCGGTGTTGTTAATAATAGGAACTATGCAGCCTGTGTATTATTGATTGGTTTTGTTGACGATATGGCAAGCAAGTTAATTTTTTTTGTATATTATTTTAGAAGTCTCAGTGTATGAATTCTATAAATACACTTATTAATGTAAAATTTTATAACCTACCAAAATTTCATTTTATAACACAACACATCAATAAAAAAAAGATGGATGTGCTGGCCAGAATTACCTTTTAATTGTCGACACTTGACCCAGTGTAATTAATGATTGTTAGCTAATTAAATAATAATATGATAACCTTGAATTATGCATGCAATTAAAGACCAAGGATAGTCCACGAAAGTCTAGAGAAGAATTATTTCCAGTGGGGTCCTTCTGGTGGTGATTGGGCAATACACCGGGAGACAATCCCCTACTCTTTTCCGAAGAGTGTACTGCGTTTTTTAACATGCCATAAATGTACATGGGACCAACGGCTTAAACGTCTCATCCAAAAGACGGTGTGCTATTTTAACTTGCATTCCAGCCCTCCAGCTGAAACACAAGGAGAAGCAGCGATGGGAATTAAACCGGTGACTAAGAGATCTCCAGCACACACACAGTGGCTACCACCAGATTAGCCGACTGAGCTAAGCTGCTCTATCAAACACTTTTTTTGTGCATTAAGCAATATAAGTGTAACATAAAAAGGTGCATGAGGAAATACTCGGCAACAAACAGTTAATGAAATACAGATTTTTTTAAATACAGTATTTAAAGTGGCGTAACCAAACTTTTTTTTTCAACTCTTTCCCCCCCCCCCCTTCACCATTTAAAAAAAATATTAAAATATATATGTATCTTATTAACTGTTCCCGAGATTTTCGTCAAACACTCTGTTTGTGAATATTTGTGAAAAATCAGTTGTACAACATATCAAAGGTGTTTTTCTCCCGGAGCCTAGTTTTAGGAATGATTGTTCCTCGTCCACGACTTTATCTCAAAACTACATTTGGTGAGTATGTTTACTCATCTGTGGAATAAAATTTATTCTCTAATGACGTCGTGGTCGCTATACTGGATGGTTTTAACTTATCTACCCTTATGTTACATATTTAAAAAACAATATATACAAGATGCGATGTACAAATAACTTTATTGTGCGATATGAAATCAGTAGAACTCGTGAAAAACAGTACAAATTGGAAGTCAATATTTATGCAGAGACAGCATTAAACTGTAATTATTCCATTTAAAAACATGCATTACTACTATCTTCCTTTAATTATTGTAATACATTATTTTCATTAAGTGGCCACAATGTCGTTACAGGATTCGCTACATTACGTAGATATCGGAAAGGCTCCTCGATTGATCACCGACTCCATCGGCCAAGTTAAACCAGATGATCCCAAAGTCACTAAACGTCATCCCCTTCTCTTGGACGATCATTAAATTTTATTTTCCTGTGTGGTAATATTAGACTTTCAATAAATAACGGAATATTAATCGAAAACTATTTGTATTACAAGAGCAAAAAAGACTTGAATAGAGCCTAGTTGTTCAAACGATGTAATGTTTCTGTGTATAAAACCAAAGATAATAAATAGCAGAAGATAGAGCAGCTTCCCAATATAGTGGAACATCCGTTCAAAAGGCATTGTGGGTACACGGAGGGTAATTTTACTGCAACCGCGCGGCGGCGCTATATAAAATTAATAAAGGCGCTGCTCTTGTTCCCTTTAGTTTCTCCACTAAGTAAAATGTACAAATTTTACTGCAACCGCAGGAGGGCGAATGTTCCATCGATTTTAATGCAAATACTCGGAGCAGCTCATTCTTCTGCTATTTAAGTTTTTTGATAAAACCAAAGATACTAGAAATACAAGATAGAATTCTCCACACAAAAAAAGTGTTCCACCGAAATGCATGGTGGGAATACGAAAAACGGGACGCCCCCTACAGCTGGATCTAAAAAAACTTGTGCCAAACTTTCGTTACCAAGTCGTCGCCTATTTTATTATCAATTCTCAACAAAGATACTAGACATAAAAACAAACTGGAATAGACACCCAGACAGTGACATCGGTGAATACATAACCTCCTTGGTGGCGGTAGAAATCGTTGCTATTATCCAAATAATACACAAAACAAATAAAGCATAATCATGAATCAGTAAAGAATAAAACAACAATACAGCGCAGAATCGCATTGGCCGGACGCACTCTTAGTGAAAAAGTTTTCCTCCATTAGTGGAAAAGGAAGGGCGCCTTTTGCGTCTGGATATACTTAGCAACAGAAGGGCGCCCTGTACGTTGGGCACGAAGTATAGGAAACTTGCAAGGTTAAATAGAAGGGCGCCGCCTACAGTGGGCACGACTTCCGCCTCATTTTTACAATGCGAGAACTCTATCTTGTATTTCTAGTATCTTTGACTAAACCGGATACTCACTGCCGACGCGATTCTATGGAGAAGAACGCATGAACGGCATGACGCGCGCGCAACGGATCGTTTTTATTGACGATCCAATCAGACTGCCACCAAAGAGTATAAATAGAACAAGAGAGCGTACTCCCGTTTTTGAAAACGTCACGCCTGCGTAGGACGCCCACTGACGGTTGTATGTACTTTTTATTACCATAGAGATATAATAGTAAGAATACTAGAGCGCTAACTGCAATGTATTCGATGTTCGAAATACGCAGAGTTGTGTGTGTGTACCATCCAAGATGGCTGCCATAGATTTAACCAATCAAATTTCGTCTAAGCGCCATCGTTTGCAATTGCACCCTCAATTTACACAGAAAGTTCAGTACCTCTAGTTACCCGTATGTGTGAAACTCGAGCGTTGCGGGTGCGTTGTATGGGTGTAATGTATACGATTTTAATTTTCATTCCTTGGTACTGTATTTTTGAATAGGATGCTTCACTTGGCCTCGTTTTGGCTACGATAGTTTAATAATTTGTTATTACCATTACTCATTATCATTAATGAAATAATAGTCAGAGGACCTATTTATGGTAATATTGCATACTAAGCCTGAAGGTGGCGCTTTACTACGACGGCCATCTTGGATGGTACACATACATAACTCTGCATTGCTCCGCCATCTTGTCAGCACTCTAGTTGTTTAATAGCTCTATGTTTAGTACCCAGTGCAGCGCAGTAGAAGCATGGTAGAAGTACGCCCGCTATGAACTCAGTAAGCAGAAAACATAGGCTACGTTCAGACCTGTGAGATACGCCAGGCGTACGTTAATCCATGGCGTAACTAGCGAGATGTCCAGACTGGGCGATTAATGAACGCTAGCGTAATTATTCGCGCGAAATATTCGTATTCGTAATTCGCGCATTTTATTTTCTGTTTACATCTAGGTTTATTTTGATTGGTCAAATCTTGGCTGAGTTCAAAATCACCGATGCGTGACTGTCGTAGATCAGTGGCGTACGCTTATATCTGGGGTCTGTTGCTGGATTACCTTACGTCAGTGATTGCACCACTCGATTAACGTTACGCTAGCGTAAGTCGTTGTGTCTGAACCAAAGATCTTATAAACACAAGATAGCGTTCTCCGCGATTTACGCGTAACAAATCGAAGTGTTGATTTTCCAGAACAAGTAATCAATTTTGGAAGAGGGCGTCCTATCTGTTGCCATGGATCTGAGATGGTTCCTGTTCTACTGTTCTAATGACGAGAAAAAGTGGGCGTGGTCGAGCTCACTCAAAATCTCTCTAAAGTGTTCGCGGGGGAGAAGCCCTCGAAAAAATAAGAGAGCTTAAAGGTTCCAAAAGCTTATTCGTCGATTTTAGAGTCTACTAATATGTAGAAAATACATATACATTGTCCCCACGACGAATTACCGTTTTTCTCCCCGAGAGAAGAGGCCAGTTCTCCCCGACATAAGAGTTTTGGCCAAGGGCCCTCGCTGGCGGCAGCCCTGCGTTATTCAGTTCATATTTGGATTTTAGACTTCTTAAATAGAGGTGCAAGTCATCTCTGTCAAGCCACCTCGGTCTTTAGGACTGAATCTTGTTTTGAAGTGCTTTTAATGACTGAACGTGTTTAATTGTTGGACACTGAATATTATAAAAGTAGTCTTGCCGTTTGACGGGCGCATTTTGCTCACATATATTTAACCATCTATGAAAATCTAGTGAGAGTGGCAATCTGAACACTATTCACTCAAGCTGGAAATCACATCAAATAAAGCTCTGTTCCCACGAGGGAACAATGACTTTACTGTTCCCTGGTTCCCACAATCAAATTCTATGTGGCAAATACATGTGATTTGCCCCAATATGGGTATGACATGACATCATCATGCCCTCATATGGACAATTCACACAAATCTGTCACAGTGTGGATAAATGCACTATTATCAATGTTTCCATAGCAGACGTACAACAGACATTTATTATTAGATCGGACGACGATCGTATACATTACAACAGGACATTAATTCCATGTTTGGAATAGATGTAAATGAGAAGTTACATAATTTATTCTATCTCATCCTGGTACGTTTCGTCTGTCTGACGAGAAATATTCATACTGTGAAAAAAACAAAAGTCGTTTTTGTTAGAAAAGAAATAGGAATAGATTATATTACATAGACTGACGAAATCATGTTAACATAGACGAGAGCTTGCAGTAATCTTACATAAAATTGTGGTGGTGATGGCGATGATAATGGTATTGGTAATAATAATAGTTCATAGTGATCAAATGTGGTGGTTAATTCAATGCGTTATGACCGCAATGCAGGTTCGAGTCATGGTCATAACAATATTTCTGTTTATTTCATTTATATATTTTTATTTGTTTTATTTGTTTATTTTATTTATGTTATCTTGTTAATTGTAGTGTTGTTGGTTGTTGTCATTGTCGTTATTACTACTGTTTTATTATTAATAACAATTGTAATTTGTATGTTACTTCTAACTAATCAAGTTCATTTAAATAACATATGTGCATCAAATATATAACATGAAAAGAAATTAATTACGTTATTTTCATATAGAACAATCGACACTAATCGGTTCCAATGGGTTAACGTCCCACACTAAGGACATTAGTACTCACCCCAGATTTTCTCCTTCTTTCAAAGTTTGAGGGAGATTTAATCCACGTGTCTCCGGAAGCAATAACATGACAAGACCAGCAGCGATGGCTAGACCTCCAAAGATGAGATATGGGAGCTGTTCAAAAATGACACCAGCGAAAAGGATCTGTGGAGCGATGATTGCTCCGATACTACCAATCATTGACGACACTCCTATTGCAGTATTTCTAGTATCAAGTGTATAGTAAACTGTTAGACATAACCACATTGTGAGAACATTAATTCAATATGAGAATTAAAACTACAACTAACAAATTAATCAATAAATCAAGAAACTTGTGTAGACGAAATGTTTTCCGGAAAGCAATCGAAAAATGTTGATTGCTAGGCTCATGTCGTTAATACATTGACATTTGGCGGAATACACAAAAATCTAGGTATCTTCTAGCCTAACACAATTTCCACTCAAGAACTCTTCACACGTTGCCAGACAGAGAGCATGGAAATAATAACCAAAAAGGAAGATGGAAATGGCTTGGCCATGTGCTGAAAGGAGCCTGATAACATCGCACGCACATCATTACATTGGACTACAGAAGGGAAAAGAACAATTGAAGCAGAGATGAGAAACTCGAGGCACTCATAGGAGCCCTTAAAGCGGTTGGCTCAAGACAGTGGTGATTGGAAAGCTCTGGTTGCTGCCCTATGTGCCCGAAGGCATTACGGGCAGAATTAAGTAAGTACACAAAAACATTATTGTTATCAGGCTGAAATTTAAAAATATTAGAATTCGTTATAATGACGTGACTTTAATGAAGTGGTCATTGAGATTAGAACAGTTTGTGATTCATGATACTACGTCACGTTGTTCCTTATAAAATCGTACCCGTAAAATCGTACTCTAATTGGGTCAAATCATATTAACATTTAAGAATACGTTACGTGTCACTAAGAATGGTATTGTTCTTGCTCTGGTTCATGTGCTCGGCCATCACACACTTTATGTTCTGTCACAAAATGTACGCCTACCTTGTGACAAAACGTGGTCCATAACTATCATGACTAACTCTCCCTAACCAAGGTGGTCGTGGTGGCACGGCCATCTTCATGAAATTCCACCTCCCAAAACCACACCTATTAAGCTCAAATGTTTCGTACCCACAGGTTCTCCCCAGGGGTGGCGCCAGGACCTGCCCGACGGAGGGGCTAAAGGCCCCGACGGGGGGCTAGTGAAGCGAATCGAGTCTCACTTGGCTGGGGCCACTAATTGCGATATTTATGCATTTTCACAACTCACTTATTGATTCGATGCGTCTTGGTTGGCGATAGCAAGATACAAATAAAGCATGTAAAAGTTTAACGGATTATACTGTATACTTACCTTATTGGTGTTGGGTAAATTTCGGCGGCAACTATGTAGATAAGTGTATATGATGCAGTGATCCAGAACTTACCTACCATTCCGAGTGTTGCAACCCACATATGATTTGCTACCGAAAAAAATATATTACTGTATATTAAGCCTATTCCAACTGTACAGGCTGAAAAAACAGCGCCGATTGTAAATCGAAACCCATATTTTCGTGATTTAAAAAAAAAATTGAATACGTAAATTTGAATACCACGGTTGAAAAATGTGTTCAATTCTATACGGTTTTATAGAAAGGAAACCAAATATTTACAGCATTAATTTTGAAAAGAAAAAAGCCTCCTTCTTTATGTTTGTAAAAATGATTTTATAATAAATCATCTTTTACAAAACTATAATGCTGATTTTTAAAAATGTATATTAAAAGTAGCGTGTATGCATAACGACGCTGGATCAAAGAGAACTTCTTATTAGATAATAATTAATAACGACTCGTTCATTCAATTGAGGAAACGTTTTAATCTGTCTCTTATACACATCTAGATGTGTATAAGAGACAGGTGTATAGTAAACTGTTAGACATAACCACATTGTGAGAACATTAATTCAATATGAGAATTAAAACTACAACTAACAAATTAATCAATAAATCAAGAAACTTGTGTAGACGAAATGTTTTCCGGAAAGCAATCGAAAAATGTTGATTGCTAGGCTCATGTCGTTAATACATTGACATTTGGCGGAATACACAAAAATCTAGGTATCTTCTAGCCTAACACAATTTCCACTCAAGAACTCTTCACATGTTGCCAGACAGAGAGCATGGAAATAATAACCAAAAAGGAAGATGGAAATGGCTTGGCCATGTGCTGAAAGGAGCCTGATAACATTGCACGCACATCATTGCATTGGACTACAGAAGGGAAAAGAACAATTGAAGCAGAGATGAGAAACTCGAGGCACTCATAGGAGCCCTTAAAGCGGTTGGCTCAAGACCTGTCTCTTATACACATCTAGATGTGTATAAGAGACAGATGTAACCATCTAATTTATTTTCAAATCCTCATTTTTGAAAGTGAAATTCTATATTTTGGAAATTTTGTATGAAATCTGTCAACCACGTTGTCATGGTCGAGGTTGATTCACCAATCACGATGTATTCCAACCATGAGGCTATCTAAATGAGCATTTGACATAACAGAACGCAAATTATTTTTAATTAGTCTCATTGAATTATTATTATTATTATTATTATTATTATTATTATTATTATTATTATTATTATAATTATTATTATTATTATTATTATTATTATGTTGTTGTTGTTGTTATTGTGGTTGTTGTTGTGATGAAAAGCTAACACAAACGATATATAGTGGCTAAACGAATATTACATGTAAATATTTTTTTTTATTTGTTTGTTCCCCGACAAAACGTATCGTCTTCCCCGACGGGGGCTATAGCCCCCAGCCCCCCTCTGGCGCCACCCCTGGTTCTCCCTGATTTCACCATACGTCTCGTATCGTAACAACCAACTGCATTTTATCTATCCCGCCGTTTCCCACTCCCACTTAATTGCGATATTTATGCATTTTCACAACTCACTTATTGATTCGATGCGTCTTGGTTGGCGATAGCAAGATACAAATAAAGCATGTAAAAGTTTAACGGATTATACTGTATACTTACCTTATCGGTGTTGGGTAAATTTCGGCGGCAACTATGTAGATAAGTGTGTATGATGCAGTGATCCAGAACTTACCTACCATTCCGAGTGTTGCAACCCACATATGATTTGCTACCGAAAAAATATATTACTGTATATTAAGCCTATTCCAACTGTACAGGCTGAAAAAACAGCGCCGATTGTAAATCGAAACCCATATTTTCGTAATTTAAAAAAAAAAATTAAATACGTAAATTTGAATACCACGGTTGAAAAATGTGTTCAATTCTATACGGTTTTATAGAAAGGAAACCAAATATTTACAGCATTAATTTTGAAAAGAAAAAAGCCTCCTTCTTTATGTTTGTAAAAATGATTTTATAATAAATCATCTTTTACAAAACTATAATGCTGATTTTTAAAAATGTATATTAAAAGTAGCGTGTATGCATAACGACGCTGGATCAAAGAGAACTTCTTATTAGATAATAATTAATAACGACTCGTTCATTCAATTCAGGAAACGTTTTAATACACTTTTTTTTTTTAAAGAAACAGTAAAATTTTCCCTGGCTCAGTGTTTGTTTCTTTTTTTCTCCATCAATTGGTAATCAATTTCAGCCTCAGATTTTATAAAATGTAATGTGAATGTGGTTATTGCAACATTTACAATTCGTTAATGAAATCCTTACATATAAACGAGGTAGTTGCACAAGCTACTCCAGCAAGTATCATTGTCGCACTTAGAATTATTCGGCGTCCCCAGCGTTCAATCGAAATCCAGGCAAGAAACACAGCTGGAATCTCGACGAAACCAGCTAAAGCGTTGGCAGCATATTCGTTTGCTCCAAGATTGACAACACTCAGTGATATCCCGAAGTAAACTAAAGTACTGACGAACCTACGAAAAAAAATATATCATCATCAGTAAACACATAACGTTATCGCAACGTTCGCGAACGTTGTGGTTGAGATTGTCAAAAAATTAAGTTAACACAACGTTATAGTAACGTTGAAGCGTTATAAGTAGCCTATATTTATCTATCATACCAGTATTTATGGCTCTACAAAATATTTTTGTAGGCACTGTAGCGTTATTATAATGTAAAGTTTTAGCTGGGATTTTGAAAATAAATGAATGATCTTGAGAGGTAATATAAATAGTTATTAATACACCTTTTACAGCTGATTAAGTAAATTTATTGATGTTTATTTGTAATATCGGCATAATTGTTATTCTGTTTATTCTATTTATAATCGTCAGCCTTATAATTTACCATATGAACGCGATCATTAGAAATCGCTTTCGGATATTTTTCAGACGTAATATGTTAACAAATTTGAAAGTTGACGACCATTGCTGAGTCTGCAAAATAAAGAGGCAGTGTTTATTTAACCGGTGGTATGTCTAGTAAGCATTTTTGTGATGACTAGTGAGGGTGCACTCCAACCCAACCTTGCAGACAGGAAAAATGTAGAATTTTAACCGGCAGAATTCACACAAATAAAAACACATATCCTGTACACTTTTGTAGAAGAAAAAGTAATCTAAATTCAAAACGAAAGTCGTTAGTATTAATTAATTAATCAATCTTCCTCATCATGATCATAATTAGGGCTACTACAAACATTTTTAATTGATTCCATTCATTTAAAGGTCTATACAATTATATAGTAACTATTGTCCATTGTATGTAATTAACGAAATTGAAGGTTGTAATCTAAGCCTCGTGCGTGCGTAGAAATAACCTCCCAACTCATTGAACCCACAGTCTTGGAAAGAGCGAGAGATAAAAGCGCCTTAAGCAGCATTTCTTAAAATGGATTCACATAGATATGAAAATTATAAAAATATAAAATTCTATTTGTAGGCATGCACTCACGATAAATAGAGTTTTCAGAGACAAAGGATGTTATTGTGATATGATGATATTCCTTTAATGATAGCAACTAATTTGCATATTTATGAATATTCTTAATTCACAAAATATGCTAATAATATTTTTAACCTTGAAAACATGGGTCTAAGTGCTTTATTTGTCATAAATGAACAATAAGATATATAGTTATTGCAGTGAATCCATTATGTTGTTATGACGGCGCTAATTTGCATAATTTTATGCATATAATTAATTTACAATGGTAAAAACATCCTAAACTATTAAAACAATGGTATAAACGCTATCTGTCATTGATTGAAATCTTAGACAAAAACGTTTTGCAGAAAATCAATTTCATTGTAATGGCGAAAACTAATTTACATATGAAACATAATTATATGCATAAAAATTACTCACAAATATCCCAATAACATCCTGACTCAAAAACAAAATGGTTCTAAATTCTATTTGTCGTGATTGCATACCTGAAAAGTAATACACTTAATTTTATAATACACTTTTTTTTAACGAAAGCAGCTAATTTCTAATTTAATGGGTCTGTCGTCAGTCCTGTACGACGTTAAGCTACATCCAGGCAGAGCAAGCAGGTTGACTGTGAGGTTTAAAAATACTCAGTCCCAACTAACTTCCAGGGGTGGCGCCAGCAGGGGGGGGGGGGCTGCCCCCTCCCCCGGTCGGCGAGAAAAAGCACAATTCGTCGGGGAGAAAAAACAAGTTATATGTATTTTCTACAACTCTAAAATCGATTAGATAAGGCTCTGAAACCCCTAAATTGTCAACATTTTCGGGGGCTTCGCCCCCTGGACCACTTTCGAAACCTTAATCGAAGCTCGACCACGCCACTTTGCTTTTATCGGAGAAATGTGACCCCCTTCGTTGGGGCATCGCCCCCCCCCAGTCGGGGACCTCGGCAACCCCTCGACTATTTAACACCGGGAGACAATCTCCTACTCAAAGTGGTCTGCGTTCTTCAACGTGCACATCAAACATTTCCATACGGGACCAATATTTTAAACGTCTAATCAGAAAGACGGTGCGTTTTTTAAACTTGTATTTCAGGCCTCCAACTGAAACACAAGGATGTCAGCGATGGGAATTGGACTAGAGACCAAGAGATCTCCGTTGTTCAGCTGACACAGCTAATATCAGTTTAGCCGACTGAGTAGCTGCATATTATGTTTGTTTAAAATGTCCTGTCGATCGTACCCTTTGTAACTCATCAAATTCCTGTGTATCGACGAAATATATAATTTCACACCTCTCAAAGTCCACCGACCACCCCGTCACATAATACGGTAAAACAGTAAGAAATCATACATCCCTTGCATTAAAATCATATTTCACTTACTTCTGGCATAAAATCTTCTACGGTCTAGCAAAGTGCGCCCAATCAGGATCGAACTTTTATTACCTTAATATTCTCTGGCGTAGGATCTTCGCCGTTCTGCCTGCAAAATTGTTTGCAGACATCAAAATTTGCTTGTGGGTCTTCGCTGAACTTGCATGCCTTTTTCAATATTTTTTCTGCATTGTCCACTTCGTTTACAGAATGGAGCCATCGCGGAGATTCAGGAACAAAACTAATTTGAATATAAAAAATTAAGATTGTTTTTTGAGTATAATAAAGGGTTTTGTCCACTCAGAAGATGATGGTGGAAATAATGATGATGGAGATGATTATGGTAATTCATTTCAAATTTTTTTTTCAATTGCATCATAAAAATTCATAGAAATTGTTCCTCCTCAGAGATACTATAACAAAAAAAAATACAAAACTGTAAAAAAAAATATGTCAACAGACTCAAGTCATATCCTGTATCTTGATGTCGTTCATTGAATACAAACGCCATATACCGTTAGCTAAGTGCCCGAATGGCTGCCGGATAGAGGCTGTTTCGGTTGTTGGTACGAGTATAGATAGAGTAAAAGCGCCTGCCACTACGTAACACTTTGAAGAGGGAATGTGAAGGATGAATTATGTCTTGCAAATATAGAGTGAGTTTACTTTCTTCCTAAGCTCATTATGAACAAAAATGTCATCTGCATTTTAGATTGTTGGTGATCACAACACCAAGGAAATTAAAATTATCTACAAAAGAAGCCTAATACCACCTACGAATGGGTGGGTTAAACACACAATATCAAAGTCATCAAAGGAAATACTTTGGATATTCATCAAGACATCCTGGATTGCAATCAAATCTTCTCTGGAATAATGTAATAGTAGATCAAGCAAAAAAAAAGTACACAGGAGTCCCAGGTCTCCAGGAAGTAGGGGGAATCTCCAGAAAATATTAATGGCCTCCTGCACTCACGCAAACAATCACAAATTCCACGGAAAATAACCAATCTCCTGCAAATTCAAAATATTGCATGTTTCTTTTATAGCTACTTTATTATCAATTGTCTCACGGAATCAGTGCCAATAGCGATCACCATGACCAGAAAAATAAAATTAAATATTGGTATGGTAAATGATGGTAAAATAATTTGGTAAAGCGCCTTCTCTAGTGCATACAAACTGCTAGGAAAATGTAAAAAGGTCATGGTAACTAAAAACAAGTAGGTTTTCATTTTTTTTTTAAATCGTGAACAGATAAAGAGTTCCTTAATGTCTGTGGGAGAAAGTTGCAATTCTTCGGAGCAGTCGCAGAGAAGGCCATTATCACCGGCAACTTTATTTGTTCTGGGTGAGATAAGGGTGATGGCTGCAGAAGATCTTGTTGAGCTAGGTGGGGTGCACACCTGCGAACAGTCAGCTAAATAATAATGGTGAATTGTTCTTGAGCAATTTGTAAATGAGTAGGAGTATTTAATGCTGGTTCGATGGTGCACCGGGAGCCAATGGGTTTGTTGAGAAGAGAGATATTAATTCAAAGAGATAATATTAAAGCCCGTGCTGCACTATGAGATGCGTCTAGGTCGATAAAACGTCGGATGCGCCAAAGGTTTCAGGAGATGAAGATGTCACAAGTGACATCTATTTTAGTTTATAAGTAAGTATTTTCTTTGAACCACTAACCTACTTTTACACACAGCAGCTAGTATTCAGTCAAATATGGTAATGAGGTAAGTATTCTTTGAGAAACTTTGTTTGTGATTTACTGATTGGCTGAATGAGAAATGAATATAAGTGAGGTAATGCAAATGAGTGCAGAGATGCAAATGAGTTTAGGTTAGTGGTGTGAAGCACTGATTGGATGGGAGTGCTGAATAGTAATGAGATATGAAGTTTTGATGGGGTGTTGTTTAGAACTGGATGAAGAGGGTTTGGAGAATGGCTTGGTTTGGAGAATGGCTTGAGAGATAGCAGGGAAAGGACATGTTAGTCCAGAGTTAATATATGTTGTATTGCAGACAACAATATCAGGTTCCATGCCTACGTTATACCAGCCTACAGACATTGCGGGTGAGATAAGAACAATTTGTTTGCCTGTTATTTTATAATACAAATGGTAGGCCTGAATGTATGCCAATGATCAACCAGTGAACGGCTGTGATGTAATCAATATTGCATTATTTGGATGGAAACATTTTTACAAGTACCTGCTATTTATATTTTTTGTGGAGCTAATAAGCTTGGATACCAGGGAGAAGTCAACCCTGAGTTAAAGTGAACGTCACTATAATTCAAGATTAGTGAATTTTGTGGAGCTAATAAGCTCAGATTGCAGGGAGTAACCCTGATTTATGCTGAAACGTTATTGAAGGTAACTATAATCCAGAATTAGTAAATTTATGGCGCTAATAAGCTCGGATACAAGAATATTATTTGGATTGAAGGCCACTTTAATGCAGAATTTGTGAATTGGTGTTTGAATCTATTCGATTTTACTGAGCCAGGAAGAACCTGTGAATGGCATTAAAGAAGTGAACTGTGGGGGGATTGTGATTGTTCTTTGGGCAGGGTGTTTGAAAGTGGACAGTTGAACTTTATATAATTTTTGCTTTTGGTCAATTGCAAAATTTATTATTCATTTATTATAATTCTGTAATCATTTTTCCATCCTTTATTCACATTAATTTTTGGAATGTTAAAATAATATAATGATTCAATGATGGTTAAATTTTTGAAATTGCTGTTAATATTGTGAAGTTATTGTTACTGTATTATATTGAGATTTGAGAAGATAAATGTAAAGTACATCATAACATTAAATATGTACCATTGACAGTAACTTTCATTGTGATATACAGTACAATATTATTAATCCGGTATATAGAATAATTATTTCCATCTGATAACTGATGTTAATTGAGGATTACCAATAAGCCTAGTTTATTGTTTTTTTTTTTACTATATATTCTTACCATCAATTACCATTGAATCTTGAGAGATAATAGTTTATTGTTCAGTGTTAAACACTCACCTGAATATAATTGGTGTTTTGATAACTGAGATCGTTTTCCTTTGCTTTAAACGTTTTATATAATTGGAAAATTCATATACTATATCATATTAAACCAGTTTATTTTAACTTTTTATAAGACAGTGTCAGTTCGGTTTATTTATCGTCCTGAGGTTGTATTTGTTCAGACAAATTAAAATGTCCGTATGAGCCTATATTAGGCTGTGTGACAGAAGATTCATGATGGAACTTAATTTTGAGACTTGATCATTTTTAAAGATTGATCGAAGGTGAAGTCTAGGTTACGGACGGTTTTAGATGGCCTTATTAATAATTATGTTTCCTAAGGTAAGTGTGGCATATTGAAGATACTGTAGTGAGCAATGACGAGGTGAAGCAGTGACGAGAAATTTAGTTTGGACACCTGCGTACAAATAACGTATATGCCTAAATCACTACAAAATCAAGCACGAATCTCAAAGCCATGTCATGTTGCATATCAATGAGAAAACTGGGAAGAGATTCCAGTACTACAGAGTTGCTCATATCTGCGGGAAGCTAATCCCACACAAGAGGAAATAAATCTCTTGAAAAATTGTAGAAAACAAGATATGCCTTTTAGACCCATAATGAACGTTCTGGCTAAAAATCACCTTGATGGACGAACAAGTTTACAGCCAGAAACATAATTAAATAGAGTTGGCCTATGTTTTGCTATGGAAATAAATCTCTCAAATTGTAGAAAAAAAGATATGCCTTTTAGACACATATTTCCGTGCTGTCCGACGGATGGCCGGGAGGCTAAGGGTTGGGTGACACGGACCGATCAACACACGAGACCTGTAATAGCTACTAACCTAGGTGGCGAGGGTTTGAATGACTATATACTGTAGCTACAAAAGTAAGACTTACAAGAATATCATAATCCATATAATTATATCTGTTATTGCCATCGCCAGAATAAGAAATCGCCAATTGCGTATAAGATATGCATACAATGAGGCTACCATGTATCCAATTGACCACTGAACTGAGATGAACGTCCCGGCTAAAGACCGCCTTGATGGACCAACAAGTTCACAGCCTGAAACATAATTAAATAGAGTTGGCCTATGTTTTTGCTATGGAGGTATTTTATTTAGTTACTTAATATAGGTGTGAACAAATATCATGACCTTAGATGGTTTTTAAAAACTGATGAATTGTAGGCATTGTATATATAGGCCTATACATATA